AACAACTAAGCCAATCCAATTCATACGGTGATTTGGCTTCAATGTTAGCAGCTGTAGTCTTGTTTCCACAAAGCCTGTCAAGTCACGCATTTGTGCCTGTAAACATTAATAGGATAAAATAAAATTAAAATAAAAGGAACTAATAATAATTCATTAGATTCACACAATGAAAACAGATGATAATGCTTATAAATGAAAGACCATAACTGACAGTTATATTAATGAAATGTATAGGATGGAGAATACTAAAACATAGAAATTTCAATATTATTTCTTAAAACAATCTGAGTGAATAGATAGACATGAAAAGAAGAGAACAAGATAGATTATAAAAAGATGTCTACAAGGATAGAGATTATAAAAAAATTATGGAAAGAAAAAGTAAATGAAAAGCCAAAGTGTGGAAATTCTAGCCTCAGAAGGTGGATTTTCCAGCCTTCTTCTAGAAGATAAAAATGGAAGAGGACAGAATTGATAAAAGCCACAAAACACTATTATGAGAGTACCGTCGTCGAGGAGCTGCGGACGGTGGACCAGGCGATGGCGGATGGCGGAGCAGGGCAGTAGCGACAAGGCGTAGACAGCGGACAACGGAGAAGGGCAACAGGCGCGGTCATCTTCGGCGGAGCATGAGCGGAAGACGAATTTTGTAATTTATGGATTTTCAAAATTTTTCTTCATCTCCTTCGTCAGTTTATCTATGGTTATTAGATTTTTTTTTTTTTTTTGTTGGTGACTACGCCACTACGGTCACTAGTTTTTTAATTTTACTAATGGGTAATGTTACTTCCAAAATTTTTCCCTCCAATCTTTCCCTCACATGGTATTTTCTATTTTAACAATTAAATTTCTTTTTAAGTAATGGTGGGTCATTATTAATGGACACCAATAATTTGAAGGGGGCGTTTGGTTCAAGGAATCTTGAATTACCCCAATAATAGGATTACCTAGAAAAAGATAATGTGAGATTTTGAGAATATAAGATTACCTTATGTGTTTGGTTTGGATTGTGGAATATAATATTAACTTGTTTGGTTAAGGGTTATTTGGATCAATTTACTATAATGACATCAATAATACACACACCCATATATATATATATATATATATATATATATATATATATATATATATATATATATATATATATATACACACACACATACATATTTATTTATTTATATGTATGAATATATATCAATGCTAAAATATTAAAAAACTAAATATATAAATATACGCACATGTATATTTCATTATATAAACATATATTTATTTTATTATTATTATTATTATTATTATTATTATTATTATTATTATTATTATTATTATTATTATATAAGGATAATGATTAATTAATAAGCGCAAAGTTAGAATAATTCAAGGTAATCTATGATTACCTAAGAAAATGGGGGTAATCACATTACCGCCACATTAGATTCGAGTTAATATAATATTACCATGTAATCTCATAACTTGAACCAAATAAGATACTATAACATTACCAGACTTAGATTACCTTAACCAAACGCCCTCTAAGGAAAATGATATATGTACTCCTATGGAGTATAACTCCTGCCACGTGTAGAAATTTTATTAGGTAAATAAAAGTGAATGAATAAAAATAGTACTTCGTTATTTAAATCAATTAAATGATGACACCTCAGCAGGGAGTAAAAAATGGAGTAGAAAGTGAGAGTACATATAGTATTACTCTAATTTTAAAGGGACATTTTTACCTTTAAAATAAGTATTTCATTTATTTTTTTTATCCAACAAATTATTGATTATATGTAGGGATGACCATCGTACAATTCGAACAAAATTTGACACTGTAGCAACCAAACCGAAAAGTTCTATTTACGATTCAGAGCTGGAACTCAATATTCGAGTTTCTAAATTAATTGTTGAAAGTAGATTTTTTTTTAAAATAAAAAAATTTATATAAAAAAAGTTCAAACCTTCAAATAGAAACCGGAACTATGAATCGGTGATTCAAATTGGAACCGAATCGCGATCATATCAACTAATATATGGGAACCAAAATAATAAGAATATATGTGAAAAAGAGCGAATACCATTTGTAAATATTATAATTATAATTTTAAGTCAATGCTTGTGACATTAATGTTATAATTATAATGAATTAATATTAACGAATTATTTGTGTTTAAGTCTTAATTTTGTTAGTAGAATTATCTTAAAATTATAATTATAATATTTGCAAATTGTTATGCTATTTTGCACATTTATTTTGATTTCCATATATAAGTAATAATTGTTGTAAAAGAAAAGAATTAATGAAATATTTATTTTTAAGGGTAAAAATATCCTTTTAACATAAAACGAAAAATTTGTCACTTTTAAAATAATTGAAGGGCTAATATGAGGACATGAATAATTCAGAGAAAACAAAATATTATAAGCATATAATTCAGGGGATGATGTTATTTTTTCTTTATATTAGTGGGTGAAATTAGAAAATATTTTCGCAACAGATTGAACAATTGTCGCAAGTTCCGTCACCAACCTCGAACGTCAAATCTCTCATTGTGCCAAACATCGCAACAAAATTAATTTCTGTTGCCAATTTCATTGTCATATCGTGATAGACATGTAGGGCGTCACATTTTCTATCGCCAATGTGATAACATATTAGCAACGGAATCGATTCCCTCGTCTCATTATGTAGTGAAAAATAAGCGCTACTTAAAAATTAATTATTCTAGTGACGGAAAGGACGATCATCGCAAGTTCCGTCACCAATCTCAAACGTCAAATCTATCTTTACTCGAAAATCGCAACAGAATTAATTTTTGTTGCCAATTACATCGCCATAGAGCGACAGACATGCAAGGCGTCGCATTTTCTGTTGCCAATTTGTCAACATATTGGCGACATAATTGATTCCGTCATCGCATTCTATAGCAAAAATAAACTTTACTTTAAAATTTAAATATTTTCGCGACGGAAAAATACCCGTTGCAATTTCTGTCGTCAACCTCCGTCGTCAATTCCTTTGTACAAAGATTACATATGAATATTTTTCACTTTGAGCCAAATATCGCAACATAATTTATTCTCGTCGCCGATTCTGTCGCAAAACCACGACGGCACCATCAGCCGTTGCCTTTTCTGTCGTCATTGTGGTGACAGAATTTAATTCGGTCGCAAAATCCGTCACCAAAATGTGGGCGCCAAAATTTTCAAGATTTTTTGTCACTTTGCGCCAAAAATCACTACGGAATTGAATTCTGTCACCATTTCTGACGCAAAATCACGACGAAACACGTTCCGTCGCAAAAACCGTCACGAATTGACAACGGATTACGTTCCGTCGCGATATTTCCGTCGCTATTCATGATTTTTCTTGTAGTCATCTACTACCACGAGAGTATACTTTCGTCCACTTAGGCTTACAGGATCAACTGGACCGAACAAGTCCATATGTAGAAGACTCAAGGTCTTGAATTTGTACCAATGGACTTTGATTTGAACGAAGACTTAATCTGTTTGCCTTTCTGACAAGCATCATAGATTTTATCCTTGACATACGCAACTTTTGGTAGACCTTCTACTAGATTGCCTTTTGCCAACTTGTTCATAGTCTTGAGATTCAAATGATTCATCTTGTTGTGCCATTCCCAGCTTAGATCCACATTACTTTTTGCTAACAAACAAACATTCGCCTTAGAGATTTCCCATGTGACAACATACATATTCTTCTTTCGCTTAGATGATAATACAATGTCACCATTTTCCATGCTGATTACACTGCACTTGTCTCTTGAGAATTCAACTTTGTATCCTTTGTCACAGAATTGGCTGGTACTCAACAAATTGAACTCTAGTCCTTCAACATATGAAACATTGTGGATGATTATTACATTTTTAACAATATCTCCCATTCCACGTCTCATTCCACAAGATTCTCATCCAAAAACGACTTTCGGGACATCAATGTCTTCAAAGTTGCTCAGATTTGATTTATCTTCAGTTATGTGTCTTGAGCAACCACTATCCACGTACCAAATGACCTTGTTATCCTAAAATAAAAAATTATGTAGTTTTAGGTACCCTTTCGTTCTCGGGTCCTTAAGGGTTAGCGGTCAATTTCGGGATCTAGACGAACCTAGAGTTGGTGTTACTCATCCTTGGTCCTCTGTATCCAATAAACACGCGATAATTATATGGGATTTTTGAAAAAGTTTTGGCCTGATTGTATCGTCTTTAAGAATGGGTTTCAAGTAGATTGCGATACACCTTAGAATAATGAGTCTGTTTATGTTTGTGAAGCTTTTCAAATTTTGCTTTCGTCATGGATTCAGGAAACACAAGCCAGTTCTCTTCAGAAGGATAAAGCCTTTCGGCGCCTCTCATTGGTCTTCTAAGTGACCTTCCGAGGCTTAGCATGCTTGTTATTCTTTCATTCATTAGGAAAATTATTATGATTTCCCTGTGAATAACCCTTACGTTGATTCATTGAATGAATTTGCCTCTGATTGATATTAGGGTTTTCTCGTTGGCTGGCCATTTTTGTAATATAGACTTGGTCTATTTACTGTAGGTCCATTCCAATTGACATTTTTAACATATCTTGGGTTGCCATTCAGGAAACTTCCTTTTGTAGGTTCCACAACACATTGTATATCCTTTCCTTTAGAATGGCTTGTTGTTTGTGGTGCTTTACTCTTATCAATCTGTATCATTGGCTCGGGTAGCTGGGTTGGACCTTTAATGAACATAGATTTTAAAGGAGAGCTTGGGTCGTAGCCAAGTTCAACTTTTTCTCTTGGTGGTCTTTGATCATTCACCATTCAATCTATTACTTTAGATGAATTAGTAAATGATGATATGACCGCACACAGATTTTGCTCTCTTACCTCCCTTGTTGTGCACTGCTCTTTAAGTAAATAAAATTGTTTTTCGAACTGGTCAATGGTGCTTGCTAACTCAATATTCTTGAGTTTAACACTTTTAAGCTCTTCACATTCGACCATGAGTCAAGAGTTCTCTTCCTTTATTTTAGAGTATGTGTTTTTCACTACCTTGAAATCCCTCATCAGTTTTTTTACTGAATCAACGGAACCTTCTTCACTTTCTAAGCTAGATTCAATTTGGGTAAATGAAGAGGATTGAGAATCTACCTCGTTATCTTTTGCCATCAAACACAAGTTGTCGTCACTTTCTTTCTGGCTGTATAGACATAGAAGTCCCTTTTCGTCTTCAGAACTTTCGCTTTCCGAGCTCGAGTTTGACGTACTCAGTTCGGGTTCAACCACTTCATTTGTTTCATTGACGACCATTGCTTTACGTCTTCTATCATTTCTTGACTGATTGGTTTCGTGTTTTGCATTCCTTCTGCTTGTTTCGGTGACGTCTTTTCTGTCGTTAGGAGAACTTGTGCTTGGTTCTTGGTTATGGTGTCTGCGGACCATTGGATGAGGACAGTTTTCCTTGAAATGTCCCGGCTTTCTACAATTGTAGCACAATACTTGAGCCTCCTCCGGTTCCTGTTTCTTAGTATGAGTTGATCTCTCGGTGTACTTTCGACTCGAGGAATTTGGCGATGCTTGGAACTCTTGGAAGTTGTTCTTTCGCATAAACCTTTTAAATTTTCTCACAAACAAAGCAAATTTCTCATCAGATAAATATTCAAAAGGGTTAGAGTTTGACCGGCTAGTCGTAGCTGGTTGCTGAATTGCAACGAGGGCAATATTCCTTGTTTCTAGCTCTTCAGTGCATTTGGGTTCATAGCTATTACCTTCATTTCTAGGGCTGGGCATTTCGGGTTTCGATTCGGTTTTTTTCGGTTTCGGTTTTAAAAAAATTAAACCATTCGGTTTAACAATAGAGTTCGGTTCGGTTTCGGTTCTGTTTGAAAAAGTTCGGTTCGATTCAGTTTTAGTTTCGGTTCGTTTTTGTGAAAGTCCACTATTTGAACGTTTGTTTTTTTGTCTGATCGATTGTTCCTTTGGCTCACTTGGAGTGCCACTTGAAGTGTTTTGTTGATGACAAGATGAATAATCATCTATCTACATAGTTAATATTTGAAAAATAAGAATTATTAAATCACCAAATGTTGGGACTTATGACTTAGAGTTGAGGTCTGAGAACTTGAGGAATTGAAAATATTAATTATTATAATATTTATATATAATACTAGCATTTTGTACGCGCGGTGCGTGAAAATTTATGTCCAACATTAAAAAATTGATAAATGCAAATAATTACAAGTTATAGTTCAAATTATATTTCAGAAATTCCTTGAAGTAGTAAATTTTAATCATCGTATTTGAAAACTATAGAGATGAACAAAATTTATATATTTTTTTTATTAATAATGTAAACAATTTTGATATAATTTATACTTTGTTTTTACAATAAATAAATAAAATATCTATAATACTAATCTAGTACCCGGTCACATATATTGGTGTGTGTCCGTGCCTATATATACCACTAAAGCTCAAACCTATCACCTCCCACTTAAGGGAACAACCAAATACCATTAAACCACAAGGTCCTTAATATCTTGGACATTTAATACAGTATATATCTATTATTATTATAAAAAAAATAGAAAACCGATCAGTTTTTCGGTTCGGCTCGGTTACCCGAATCGAAATGCCCATCCCTATTCATTTTCCATGATTTTGGAAGTCCACGAAGGATCTTTAGGTTGATCTCTTTTCGGGTTGGCTCCTTCCCTAGATCTGAAATTTCGCCCAGTAGTTTCATAAACCGAAACTCAATCTGACTTATAGTCTCATTTGGGTTCATCTTAAAGTCTTCAAATTTCTTCAGAACCATAGTGAGCTTATTCTCTTTCTCCTGTTCATAAACTTCACCCAGATTCATAAGTGTATCCCAAATCTCCTTGGCAGTCGTGCATTTCCTTACTCTCGAAAACAACAATTCATCCAGAGACTTATACAGAATGTCTCGTGCAACGTTGTCAAGATTTTCTCACGTTTTCTCTTCCGAGGTGAGTTGAGGTTTTGGTTTCGGGATCATCTGATTAGCATCAACACCTTGAGTTGCTGCATGTGGGTTGACCATCATAACAACGATTGGTGCATTATTGATTACATCCCACATTTCGTTATGGATTGCAGATAGATGAGCCTGCATATGCACTTTCTAGTCATCAAACTTGGATAGATTGAAAGCAAGAGGTCTGGATCTATGACCATGATCATTTTCCATTTTTTAAAAATTTGTGCAAAGATAAAATATGATTTTTTTTAAAGGATTTTAAACTGGGATCGACCAGGCACTATGCGCAAAGCGTTTACCGTTTAAGGAAATTGCTCTGATACCACTTGTTGATCCCGATACCGAAGGTGTAAGAGTTAGAGAGAGAGGGGGGGGGGGATGAATGGACTCTTAAACGAAATTTTAAGCCTTACTTCGAAAGAGTAGTGCACAGCGGAAAATAGTTTATCCTTTTTAAATTTCTTTGCACACTTTAATGTTGAAAATGTTTTCTTAGGTTTGATGGGAATGCAATGCAAAGCAGTAAAGTAAATATAAATGAAAGAGGTAGAGAGAGAGAAAGAGATTTTTATAGTGGTTCGGCTATTAACGAAGTCTACTCCACTCTTCTTTCACAACTCGTGAAAGGGTTTGCACTATCACTCCTAGTACAAACTAAACCAAGCATGCTTCCTTGATCACTAAGCCAGATAGCAACTTGCTAAGGTTTTTCAACTCCTCCGAGTTTACTCTGCCTCTATCAACTTCTATAGAGTTGAGTGGTTGGAAAAGGTTGATGGTATCTCCAACTTGAAGTCTTGGATTGATGAAGCTTGATCTTCGTATGAACTTGTACAAGATTTCTTGTTGTTGTGAAGACTTTGAGAGCTAGATTGTCTTTAAAACAATCTTCACAAACACACACACTGGCCGTAAATAGCTTGTAACTTGAGAGTTTTGAAAGCTTTGTTAGCAATAGAGTGATGACCAACACCTATAAGTATAGGAAATCCATCCGTTGGAAGAAGATGAGATTTCAAACCTATTAACCAGTGTGCAATATCCGCTAGGTAAGGAGACTTTAATGCGGCTTGTACCATGTAGCCGTTGGTAGCAAAAAGGTGACCTACCTTTTTGTCTTTTAGTACTGACAAAAGTGCCAATCATTTAATGCCCATTGGGATTTAAAATATCATTCTTAGGACACCATTTGTCTAGGATGATTTTCTGAGCTCTGAGACTTGGACATTTTATGCTTCTGAAAGCATATAAGACTTGTCTAATCGAGTCAGACTTTGACTCGTAGTGTAACACCCCCAAAACTAGGCACAATTTAAGCATTTAAACTTAGGGATTAAAGATAAAGTCTAACCATCATAATTCAAAAGTTGCGGAAACTAACAATAATGTATGGGGATGCTATGCCACATCTAGGTCATCCAAACCTAGATGCAAAGGCTTAAACAAAAACCAACTATCCAAAGAGTCATCAGTATTCAAAGTGGCTCACAGGCCAAAGGATCTAAGTACTAGAAAGGTAAAACTAAGTCTAGATAGAGGCTCCATCTACGCGCTCTCGAACTGACTAACTGTACGTGAAAACATTTTAAATAATCGTTAGCGATTATGCTAAGTAACCCCACTCTAATGTGTAAAGATACATAGATATACATTTGATACTTAAAATAGTTTTGAGACTGGGGAATACATAAGTATATCTCTAATCAACTCTAATCAGTAAAAATCACGGGGAATGGACTCAAGGCCAAACCACACAGGAGATATACTCAACAGTACACAACAGACCACAAGATCAATAGAATAAACTAAATCAACGAGGTAACGATAAAGGATCAAGAATAAAGATCAAGGTAAGACAATCATAGCAATCAACAAAGATAGTTCTCATCAAGGTTATGCAATCAACGTCAATCTCAAGTTACCAAGTCCACAAAGGACACAATCAACAAGTATACATCACGAAGTCAATCCCAATAACTCAAATCAATGGTGAATCGGTGTGGAGGGCTCAAAGTCAGCAAGTAACACAAGAGATGCACGCGAGGTCATCGCAACGACCCGATTGTGGTAAACCACCATCTCAAAAGATTATGCGGAATCATCGCAACGACTCAACAGGATATAATCGTGGTTTCGCGAGGTCAAAGACCCTTGGAGGCGGCCCTAAGTCCTTAAGTGTATACACCCCTATTGGGATCTCCAGGCCCAATAAGTAGAAATAGGTCCAAGAACCTAGATAAGTTTCGATAGGTTATCCGTCAAACCAACATGCCGAATCTGTAAGAAATCCCCACACTGTCCGCTGTACCAGCTCAATCATCACAACAAGTGTTCAATACACAAGGAATCATACAGAAGTGTATTCAACAACGAATAGGCTCAATCATTAGCTCAATTCAAGGAATTCTCAAAGCTAAGATACAACAAGAGTCCAAGCTCACAACGATAGTTCAAACGGATATCAAGAGAGAAATACAAGAAGGGTATTCCAAAGACCAAGACTCAACGACAACGGATTCCAACATAGTGTCACAACGAATAGATAAGCTCATGTTATCAACTCAATCAAGAATCAAGCAAAGGCTATTGTAAGGAATCATACTAGCATCAAGAAATAACATGCTAATACACAAGTCAAAGAGAAATCGCAAGGATTCATACGAACAACATAAACTTCATCAAATAGTCCAACAACTAGCAATATTGGACATTAATCTCGATTCAAGACTCCAAATCCTAACCATAGGGTTCATAATACGGCACTCTAGACTTACGTAACATCAATAAATACTCACAAATAAGCGGGGAACAACAAATCAAGGTGATAGGAATATTTTTGTAAGTTTTGATGAGCCAAATGTACTTTAGATCCCCTTAGATTTTAGGTCTTTTAGTACAAGCATCATAAACTAGAATATCGAGTCAAAGGAAATCTACCATATGAAGAACAAAATTAATTTGGGAAATTAATTTTGGTCCTACGAGTATTCATCCGAGAAAGAAGCATAAAAGAATGGCGTTGCAACAAATGATCGGATGAGCCTAACGGCGAAATGGTAGAAGTCCTTACTTAAAACGATTATACCCGAGATCGATTACCCCCCAAGGACTTATTTTTTACAAGTCAAGAATTCAGACAAGCACAATGTTCTTAAGGAGCACGATGCGTACAAGCACAATGTCCTTAAGAAGCACGATGTGTACAAGCAAGATGTGCCCAAAGGAGCACAATGTCTGAAAGGAGCACGATGTCTGAAAAGGAGCACAATGTTCAAAAGTAGCAAAATGTGAACAAGCATGATGTGTCCAAAGGAGCACAATGTGACCAAATCAGAAAAGCACAATGTTCAAGTCAAACAAGCAAGAAGTGCCTAAGTCAAAGGAGCACAATGTGGCAAAGAAGCAAGATGATCAGAAAATGGATAAATTCGAAAGAATTTATTTTGAATCTACCCACATGCCACAAGAGTCCAAAGTTGCCTGAGGATATGATCAGAACGGGAGAAATATTTATGAAGACATGAATATAAAAACTTATCCTAGAAATAAATTCTATCAGAAGAATTTATTTCAAAGATTCGTTGGAAATTCAAATTGACAACAAAAAAAATAATATTTTAAGAAACAACTTGAAAATCAAGTTGAGATAAAATATTATTTTGTCAAGCAAGATGACAATCAAATCAAAATTGAAGATCTACTGTTGTCAACAATATCAGGCTATGAAGATTCAAATTTCAAATATCAAATTATCCCACTCCAACGGATAAATTTGATTATCTATAAAAGGGACATGAAGACTTGAAGAAACAAAGAGGTGAATACAAAAAGAAGATAGACAAGAGATAGAAAACAAAGTGCAAAATTCGAAAAGTGCAAGTGCTCAAATATTCTTTGGAGACTTAGTCTGAATAGTCTCAAAAATAGTTGGAGAGAAATACAATTACCTTTGTATTTGTAATTGTTAAAAAGAGTATAGCTGTGTGCAAAATACTCTAGTGAGTGTAGCTGTGTGCAAAACACTCGTAGTTGCTAAGTGTAGCTGTGTGCAAAACACTTAGTTGGCGTAGAGTATAGCTGTAACACCCCAGATTTTCAAGACTTTTAAAACTTATATAATAAAGATAGAATCTCATTAAATCCCAAAATACAATACAAGAGTACGGGGTGCTATGCCACACCCGAGCCAGAGAACTCGGGTGCACAGGCTAAATTCTAAAACCTCAATCAGTATTAATACTAAATCATGGCACGCAGGCCGAAAGGGAAAACTATCTAAGCTACGCCCCAAGCTTCTAGCACGCTTAGGGGTGTTAGCGAACAGAGCTTTCGGCAAACTACTCGTGTTCGTGTTCGGTAAGCGTTCGTTTATGTTCGTTTGTTAAGGTAAATGAACCATTAAGAAACAAAATTTAGAGCTCGGTTAATAAACGAACAGAGCTTGAACAGCTGTATGCTCGTTTGCTAAGAGATCGCGAACAAGCTCGTTTGTGTTCGTTTAATAATATTCGTGAACCAGCTCGTTTGTGTTCGTTTAATAATGTTCGTGAACAAGCTTGTTTAGTGTTCGTTTAATAATGTTCACGAACATGTTCACAAACATATATATACATAGATTATAATGTGATCATGAACGTTGATTATTCTTGAACGTAGATTATTTGTTGTTCACGAACAAATTGTGATCATGAACATGTGTAGGTGTTTGGTTAATAAAGGTTCACGAACGTGTTCATGAACGTAAACCAACACGTGCTTGTTAACGAACATGTTTGTGAACGTGTTTGTTAACATTAACGAACACGTTCGTGAACGTGTTCGCGAACATTAACAAACACGTTCGAGAACATGTTCGTTAACGTAAACGAACACGTTCGCGAACGTGTTCGCGAACGTTAACGAACACTAATGAACGCTTAACAAACGAACACGAACAGGATTTTCAAAAACCTTAACAAACGAACACGAACACGAACACTCCAAAATTCTTAACAAACGAACACGAACAACCTCCATTCGTTTATGTTCGGTTCGTTAACAGCCCTAAGCGCGCTCTAGTGATCTACTCGTTTGTGCTTGAAAGCCAAATATATCTGTTCAGC